AGTCATGTTTGTTTTTATGACACTGTAAAATCATCTATGTTTATATTTCATAAATATTTCTCTAAGTGCCTTTGTCCACACTGTTAAACCAGCAACAGTGGCATATAATCTCCTTTTTGAAAATATCTCTCTGTGTTCTGACCATAGACTGTATGAAGAAGTGGACTAAGCGAGTGTTCAGTGTTCAGCGCCGCTCAGATGAAGCTCGCGGATGCTCAAGGTTACAGGAGCGAATTTGGAGCCAGGCTAAACTGACAAAATAGTGAAATAAAAACACCAGGATCATGTAGAGCAGGTTAATACGAACACTTTAAGACCAAAATGACGAGGCTCACTGCAGCAGTTACAGAGAGAGGAGCCACAGTATTCCAATGTAAGTCAATGGGAGCCAGAGTCAGAAGGAGCCGGCAAGAGCCACATGTGAACTTCCTATTTGGAACACGGGTCTAGCACATTAGCTATGTCCATCTATATATACAGTCTATGGTTCTGACCCTGTGTCATTTTTACATTCTCATTTCATATATCTCTAAAAACAGCATTTTCCTACAGATTTTCAATAAAAAAAAAAGTTTTACAGTACAGAACTGATACTTTGCAGCTGATGTCATCAACCGTCCCTGGGGGTGTGATGCTAACTGTAGGCATGTTCTGTCTGAGGCTTTGATAAAGTTTAATCTGAGTTTTATTTTGACACAATCTGACCAGAAAAAAACTGACTTGGTTGGAATTACAACAGGTGAGCTGATTTTTACAAGTCAGGACAGTTTTCAGATCAAATCAAATACCTAACCTTTTACTGATCACAGACTCTTTCTTCTTGAGTTTTCAGACCATCTAAAAACCTATGTTATTATCAGGTTCTTTTTGTAGGCCAAGAGTTTGTTTTCATACCTGACAGTTTCGACTGCTCACTAGCGTCTTCCTCAGAGTGGTCACGTGATGTTGCTGTGACGTGTCCAGTCAGCTGATTTAAACAAATTTTGGCGCTGTCTTCCTAGCGGTGGAGGCAGGACAACAGCGCCATCTGTAGGCCCACTTCCTCAGGGACAGTATCCCAGGTGTGTGAGAGTAAAAAAGCCCCTCGTCTTGGTTTATAGTCCCGTGGGCATGTTTCTGTATTTCAATTGCCTCATTAATCCAGTGGCGATGTTTATTTTCCTCTGTCCCAATGATGTTTACTCCATCCCAGTCCATAATGTGGTTCTCCTGTATAAAACCTGCACCAAAACCTGTATAAATCAGCTGAACGGACACAGCAACATCACGTGACCACTCTGAGCAAGAGCACTAATGATCAGTCGAAACTGTCAGGTATGAAAAACAAACTCTTGGTCTGAAAAAAGAACCTAATAACATAAAATATCGGAAGACCAAATTAATCTCATTGGACCATCTAAAAACCTTTTGGCTGTGTTTACTGATGTGTGCATTGTGTCATGGAAACTGACGAACATATCACCATACACATACATGTAGAACACCCCCAGTGTGATGTCACTGCAAAGTATCTATCATCATTAAAAGTTTGCTACTGCGTTATGATAAAACCAATAAAGTTACAACAGTTATAACACGTATTTAAAACTATAATACTGTTGTTGCCCGGTAACCAGATGTAGCTCACAGCATCAGGCAAATGTACCCTGTTATCACTTTATTAACTGTTGTTCCATTATCAGTTGCTACATAAATCTGTAACGCTTTATTTTTGTACTGTCCGTGGATCACGATTAGAACCTTATGGAAGCCCACATCCTAAAACAAACTCAATGGAGATGCTAAAAGTTGAAATATTTACACACATTTACATTTGATTTGTCTTTTCAGTGGCTGTTGGATTCCCCCGTCTATCAGCTCTTTTCTCCTGTTTCCAAGACTAACAAATCACTAGAAACATACAGACCATTTCCACAGTACCGCCGCCTTGTTTTTTTTATCTCTCAGATGTTATCAAATGCAATGATATCAAACTGAATCAGCCTATTATAGATAAAGTGAGACGTCCCTATTTACCCGGGACAGTTCCTGTGTCTCTGAGCCCAGTGATTTGTCCCAGTTTTATGTCTCAAGTGACCTTATTTTGAGCAATTTGATCCTTGGCAACAGTCAAGAGGGATATACATTGTCATTTGTTTAGCTAAAATATAGAAATCCATATTTGAAAATGACCATGAGGCAAAAAAAATGCACAAGCAGAAGTTTTTCTGATTATGACCCACTAGTGAGTCAACTTTTTTTCCACGTATTTGAGCAAAATGTGTCTTGTCTCAATATAAGAAGCTCTTATTGTCACTTGAAGTCAGCTGTTTAGTGTCTGCATCTAATTTCAAAAGGGCTTTATTGTCCGAGAACCAGGAAGTGCACAATTAGCATTTTAGTTGTGCTAGTTGTTCTTAGCGTTGATAGCAAAATGTGAATAATTAGGACACTTTGAATGCATGAGTGTGAGGAATAACGTTGGACCACAGCAAACAGTTTAAGAGTTCTGTTTTCGTTCTGCTTTTCAAGTTTTTCATGCAGTAAAAATCAGGTACTGCACCTTTTAATATTTAAATATAAAGCCATTTTAGATCTAAGTTAAGTTGTAATTTAGGTTTAAATGTTTGCTCTATGATTGAGTATTAACATTAGTGGTATTGTAGAAATGGTCTGTTTGTCGGTTTGTCGCATAATAGACCTTTTTCACGACGGCCGGAAGTGCCCCGCTGTAGGTTTGCGAAACTTCCGGTTAATGGTTTTCTGTGGCAAAAAGTCTGTGCAAATGTCTCGCGTATTCTCCACCAGCTTCATAAATCTGCCCCATCATCAAATCTTCACCCAACAAGGTCCACAAAAGATAAACATTTTTCCATGAAGAATTTACCCACAACTATCAAGGTAATAAAGACGAAAGCTTAAAGGCGAACAACGATGACGCAAACTAACGTGGAGCACGCCTATGTTCCCTCAGCCCTATGTTCCCTCATTTCTAATTTTATTTCAATTTGTGTTTAAATGTTATTACTCAAAGTTCCCTCCCTACTTATTAAAAGAGTTTTTGATTCCATTTAGATCAGCATATCATTTACGTCACACCGAACAATCATTTTTTTATGTTCCTACAATAAAAAAAGAAATTGGCCGCAGAGCATTTAACTTCAAAGCTCCAAATGAACGGAACAACTTACCCTCCCCAATTTGATCAGTTACATCAATCCACCAGTTTAAGGCGTCAGTCTTCAGATACAAACAAACATCCTGCTCCTGTTTTAAAAAAAAAAAAATACATTTTTGTCCTATGTACTTTCTGTTGTACATAGAGTTGCTTTTTTTCTTCTTCTTCACTAATTTACAAATATAGGTGTGGTGATGATAAAATTCAGAGAGATGTACAGATATATTAGGATTCTGGATTGTTTAGTATGAACAGTGTTGGGAATGTATTCCCCTACAGATTACAGATTACACACCCCAAAATGTAGTTTGTAACATAATCCATTAAATTACTTAAAGTGAGTAATGTAATCTGAATACTTTGGATTACTTGGTTTGCTGTAGAGAAGCAAAGACGAGGAAATCTTCACATAAGATGTTTTGTCTGTTAAAAGTCAATAAAAAGCCCAGACTTTACTGAACCAAATTAAAAATATTATTGATAGAAGAGGAGGAGACACGTCCACGCAGCATGTTTTAGATCTAGTTTAGACCTGGTTTAGACCTGGTTTAGACCTGGTTTAGACCTGGTTTAGTCCTGGTTTAGACCTGGTTTAGACCTGGTTTTAGACCTGGTTTAGATCTAGTTTAGATCTAGTTTAGACCTGGTTTAGACCTGGTTTAGACCTGGTTTAGTCCTGGTTTAGACCTGGTTTAGACCTGGTTTAGATCTAGTTTAGATCTAGTTTAGATCTAGTTTAGATCTAGTTTAGACCTGGTTTAGACCTGGTTTAATTTCGGGCAATGAGTGAAAACAGGAAAATACCACCGTGTAATCTATTTATTTCAACAAAGTAACTGTAATCCAATTACCACTCACTGAAACAGTAACTGTAACTGAATACAGTTACTCATAATTTGTACTCTGATTACGTAACTCCGGTACATGTAATCTGTTACTCCCCAACACTGAGTATGAATGCTGTCTGTGTGTTGTGTGAATGTTGTCTTTGTTTGTCTTTTGTTCTGTTTTGATTAGTTTTTTCTTTCTCTTCTGTAAATGCTGCTTTTGTTAATGTATTTAGGACCCCCTCGCAAATGAGATGCTACATCTCAAGGGGCTTCCCTAAAAATAAATAAAATAAAAATGCAATAAAATGTACAGAAATAATAGTTTGATCAATTATTATTAGTGGTGGAACTTAACTTAATTGTAGAATCAGTCACAAGTTACTTATGTTTTATCCATGACCGTGACGTTAATTTTGCTAAAAAATAGTCGGCTAATGCGTCGTCGTTGTTCGTCTTTAAGTTTTCATCTTTCTTACGTTGATAGTTGTGGATAAATTCTTTGTGTTTATCCTTTGTCGAACTTGTTGGATGAAGATTTAGTGATGGGGCAGATTTATGAAGCTGGTGGAGAATACGCAAAACATTTCCACTGACATTTTGCCATAGAAAACCGCTAACCGCTAGTTCTGCTAACCCACATAGCGGCACTAAAAAAGGTCTATAGGGGATGTTTGTGTCAATAATCCCACTTTTCTTCCTCTTCAATCATTCCTCATTCTTTTTTCTGTAGGCTACATTTGACCATTCTTTCAACTTACTCAGAATAGGTTAGCACATGCAGCCTGCCAAACGAACCGTAGCTAACTAGCCTAGCCTATCTAAGAAAATGTAGGAAAACATAAAGTGCTGAGCCATAATACCTAAAATTACAACAACAGCTGATGCAATAGTCTTAGATGATTTGATATTGTCCATAGTATTGTCCACAATCCTTTTATGCTAACTCGATAGCCCTGTATACAGAAATAACCCCAGATGTTTTAGCTTTTTAGCATTAGCCCATTAGCGTTAGCCTAGCATGGTGACGCGCTCATCCGCATGTGTGCTTGGTAGCGCGGGGGAGGCACGGCGGCCGGCGGTTGTAGCGGTATGGACTGGGGTGGCGGTCCGCTGGGGTGCGGGTGCTGCGGGTGGGACGCTCGGGGGAGGGTGGAGGTGCTCGGTGTCGCCCCCGGGTGCAGAGGGTGCGGCGGGTACGACGACGAAGAGGAGGAAGACGCGGGCTGGAGCTGGTAGCTGGCTGCCGACGAGGGGCCCGACGAGGAAGGGGGCGTGGCCTGTTGCTGCTGAGGGGGCGGGGTCTGGGTGAGCTGGATGGAGATGTCCGAGGAGACGTCGGAAGCGCTGCGGCCCCTCTTGGGCGGGGGCCAGGAGTCCGGGTGCAGGTACTGGCCGCTGTAGTCGCTGCAGTCGGACATGCGGGGGCGGTAGAGAGCGGGGTGGGGTCGGTACAGCTCTTCTTCTGCGTAACGCTTCATGAAGAGGTACACGGACATGACGCCTGCCCCCTGAGGACACACAGAGAATGAGATTTTAATTGTTGTGGTGGAATGGTGGAAGAAGTACAGTACTTTATTTTGTACTTAAGTAAAAGTACAGCTAACAGGTCAAAGAAATACTCCAGTAAAAGTATCACATGAAAAATAGACTTAAATAGGATTATTGAAGTACCCGTTTTAAAATGGACTTTAAGGCTACATTCAGACTGCAGCCCTGAAGTGACTCATATCTGATTTTTTGGCTCCTATGTGACCTGTATCTGATCTTTTAATGAAAGTCTGAACGACACAGATCCAATTTTTTCAAATGCGACTCAGGCCACTTGGATATGAGCTCCTAAAACCTGATACATATCCGATCTTTTGACATGCGACTTCAGTCTGAACGTCCAGGTTACATTCATCCCACCTACACGTCAGGCTTGGAGTCTAGTTAATGGAGGGAAAGTGAGGTTACTGAGTTTATGAATATTTGAGGGGATCGCTCAGGCCAAATTATTATCAGAACCAGGCAGTTTTTGAAATGATTGCCAAAGAAATGTCAGAGTGCGGCTACAGACGGTCCTGTCTCCAGTGTCAACGAAAAATAAAGAACCTGCAAACCAAATACAAGGAGCCTAAAGACCCAAACAAACAAAGCAGCTGTGGATGTGTAACCTGTCCATTTTACAAAGAACTGGACCGGATTTTGGAAGACAAGCCGAGCATTTAGGCAACTTCCATAAACACTGAGCATGCTCGCTGTGTGTGACATCGTTGTGTCCTCCAGTGCACATGCGGGATATTTTTGGGGCGTTTAAAGTTCACACTGGAGATCACATACAAGTCACATTTAATTGGAAATGTGAACGACCTCGCAAAAAAATCGGATTTCACAAAAAAATTTGAATCGAGCATTAAGGCCTGCAGTCTGAACGTAGCCTAAGAATCAAAAAGAAAAGTATTTCACGCAGATTTTGAGATCTAGTAAAGCTTCAAGTTAGTACATTTTAATAAACATTTGTGCAGAATTTTGTTCAACAGATGTAGACGAGTTTTTCCTAGCTGTTTTTATTTCTATATTTTTGTTTGCTCAAATTATGAACTTGATAAACCCACAGCCTTTTCAGCAGGTTTAAAACAATAAAAAAATAAAAATAAAATACTTGTTTAAAAATGTAATACCTTCCCTCAAATGTAGTGAAGTGAAAGTATAAAGTATAGTTTAAAGTTTTAAGTGTACTCAAGTAAAGTACAAATATCTAAAATTTGTACTTAAGTCCCACCATCTGTACATTGATTCTGTACACTATATGGAAATATATTAGATACCTTTTTACATAGATAAAGGTTGAATAATAGCGACTGAAGGCTTCTAGAAACATTTACAAATAGTGTATTAGAAAGTTTTATTCTTATTTAGACATATTGATTTAATAATTGAGCTTTCTTTGTTATAAAATGTCTTCGTCTGTGTAGTCCAGATAACACTTATCAAAAGAAATTATGTTTATTCGATTAGTCAAATAATAGTTATGATTATTCTGACTAATCGTTGCAGCTCTAATTTTTACTAAACATTTCTCATTACACTAGGCCTCTATACTTTTTTCAAGCTCTTGGTGAGTAAGTAAATACATTTTTGGATTGGAAAGATTAGATTAGCTTTTTATTGTCTTCTTTTTGGAAAGAGCAACCATGGACCTTAGACGGGGTTCATACACTGTAGAAAACCGTTTGAGACCTACGAATATGTGCAGTGATGGAAGAAGTATTCAATTTTGTTACTCAAGTCATAAAAATACAGACACCAGAGCAAAAAAAAATTAAAAGTAAAGTAAAAGTATAATCTAAAAAACAAGAAAAATGTATTAAATCTTAAAAATGTAATGTTAAAGAGTAAGTATTTCATGCAGGTTTGGAAGACTAATAAAGCTTGAAAAAAAAAAAAAAAATTACCTCTGTTTTTTTTTTTGATATTTTTTTTCCCCTCAGACTACAAATGTGATAGTAAATAAACCTTCAGTCTTTTCAGATGGTCTCAAACAATTTTAAAATATACTTTTACTTTTCACTCCAGTTCAAAAATGTAGTGCAGTAGAAAGTACAGACACCTGCTCTCAAGTGTAGTGCAGTAAAAGTGAAACGTATCCACTTTTAAATGTTCTTAAGTAAAATACAGATACCTAAAATGCATACTTTAGTACAGTATTTTACAACTTTTGCTTTGTTACGCATGGCATTGTTGAATACTAAGACATACTTTAGCTGCATTGTCAACAAAACCTGGAACTAAACCAGGACTAGCACCAAACAAGTTCACATCAGGACTAAACCAAGACAAGAACAAGGTATGAATGCAGCATAAGCAGTTCAGTTCAGGAGAATATCTGGAGTATGTAAATGAGACTGACTTTGCTTAAACACAGCTCATTTATTCAAGCGATGCCCCCGGGACACAACTCTTTCACTCCGTTTTTGCGAGCGCATGTTTTTGGAGCTGTTATACCAAACGCTTTACATAATTTGTCCACCATGAGGCGCCGCCAAGGCCAAAAAACGCCTTTAGAAAACTCCTGAATCTGCACTAGTCTTGTCCTCCTCTTGCTCTTTGGTGCCGATGGGGAGAAACAAAATAAATGCGTGATAATTTTGCAGCGCGTTGACAAAACGGGTCGGGGCTCCTCAGAGAAAGGACTCATTATCAGAAATGTATTCATGTTTACAGCTGGGCCCAAAGGAACGCTGCTGGTTTAGTTATGCAGAAAACAGCAGCGAGAATCTGCCCCAGGAATGTCAAAGAGGTTTAAAAGATGTGTTTAAATAAAAAGAGGGATTCTAACCAACGTTTATTCAGGAAAACTGGGTTAAGTGTCTTGCCCAAGGACACACTGAATGCTTGTAGTTGCACCTCTTAAAACTTTCAGAGACATTTAATGAGAAGAGAGTTTCAAACCAACATTTATTCAGGAAAGTGGGTGAAGTGTCTTGCCCAAGGGCACAACAGTACCACTGAAAATTTTACTTTTTGTGGCTCCAACTACTTAAAAGATGTGTTTAAATAAGGAGAGGGATTCCAACCAACGTTTATTCAGGAAAAGTGGGTCAAGTGTCTCGCCCCAGGACACAGCAATAATACCTCTTAAAACTTTCAGAAACATTTAATGAGAAGAAAGATTCAAACCAACATTTATTCAAGAAAGTGGACTGACTGTCTTGCCCAAGGGCACAACAATACCACTGACAATGTAACTTTTTGAAGCTGCAACTAAAAGATGTGTTTAAATAAGAACAGGGATTCTAAACAACGTTTATTCAAGAAAGTGGGTGAAGTGTCTTGCCCAAGGACACAACAATAAGACTGGTAATTACATTTATTTGAAGCTCCAACTAAAAGATGTGTTTAAATAAGGAGAGGGATTCTAACCAACATTTATTCAGAAAAAATGGGTTAAGTGTCTTGCCCAAGAACACAGTGACAACGCTTGGGAGTTGGACTTAAAACTTTCAGAAACATTTAATGAGAAGAAGGATTCAAACTAACATTTATTCAAGAAAGTGGGTGAAGTGGCTTGCCCAAGGACACAACAATAAGACTGCAAATTAGATTTATTTTAATGCCGCTGCTTCTACTACAAGCTGTGTTTAAATAAGAAGAGGGATTCTAACCAACGTTTATTCAGGAAAAGTGGGTTATGTGTCTTGCCCAAGGAACACAGTGATAACACTTGTAGTTGAACCTCTTAAAACTTTCAGAAACATTTAATGAGAAGAAAGATTCACACCAACATTTATTCAAGAAAGTGGGTGAAGTGTCTTGCCCAAGGACACAACAATAAGACTGCAAATTAAATTTGTTTAATGCCGCTACTAAAAGATGTATTTATATAAGGAGAGGGATTCTAACCAACGTTTATCAGGAAAAGTGGGTTATGTGTCTTGCCCAAGGACACAGTGATAAGCATTGGAGTTGGACTTCTTAAAACTTTCAGAAACATTTAATGAGAAGAAAGATTCAAACCAACATTTATTCAAGAAAGTGGGTGAAGTGTCTTGCCCAAGGACACAACAGTAAGACTGGAAATTAGATTTATTTGAAGCTCCAACTAAAAGATGTGTTTAAATAAGGAGAGGGATTCTAACCAACGTTTATTCAGGAAAAGTGGGTTAATTGCTTTGCCAAAGGACACAGTTATAACACTGTTAGTTGGATTTCTTCAAACTTTCAGAAACATTTAATAAGAAGAGATATTCAAACCAACATTTGACATTCAAGGAAAGTGAGTGAAGTGTCTTGCTCAAGGGCAGAATGATAGCGCTTATAGCTCCAACGACTCAGCTAGACTTACATATTTGGACTGTACCCCACATATCCATGGGTTTCAGAAACATTTAATAAGAAGAGAGATTCAAACCAACTTTTATTCAAGGAAAGTGTATGTGTAGTGGGTGAAGTGTCTTGCCGAAGAGCACAATATTACCACTGAAAATGTAACTTTTTGAAGCTCCAACCACTTAAAGGATGTGTTTAAATAAGGAGAGGGATTCTAACCAACATTTATTCAGGAAAGTGGGTGATGCATCTTGCCCAAGGACACAACAGTAAGATTGGAAATTGGATTTTTTGAAGCTCCGACTGAAATATATGTTTAAATAAGGAGAGGGATTCTAGCCAATATTTATTCAAGAAAAGTGGGTGCAGTGTCTTGCCCAAGGACACAATAATAAGACTGGAAATGTGACTTTTTGGTGCTCATACTACTTAAAGGAAATGTTTAAATAAGGAGAGGGATTCTAACCAACATTTATCCAGGAAATGTGGGTGAAGTGTCTTGCCCAAGGACACAATGATAACACTTGTATTTAGACTTCTTGAAGCCCCAACTAATCTGATGGCCTAACATATTTGGAGTGTACCCCACCTATCCATGGGTTTCAGAATATTGAAAAAATATAATAAGAGAGATTCAAACATTTATTCAAGAAAGTGGGTGAGGTGTCTTGCCCAAGGACACAACAATAAGACTGGA